CCATGTTAAATTAGACTATCAATCATTTTCTTGTACTTAGACGCCACACACAAACAAACAAAGAAAAACTAATGTGAACTACTACTAGGTACTATGTGAAGCACTTATTGGGCCGGCCCCAATGATAATAATACATTTATATTTTCCGTTCATTCAATTTACACACTTTCGTTTGATTCTTTTGTTTTTCATTAATAATTAATTCGTTTCGACTTTCAACAACAAACCACATAAAAAGATCGACGTTTTAATCAGTTCAATTAAAATCCCAAAAGAAAACAATCCAACATTTCACCCAGCCCACTTCAAATGTGAAAAATCAATGTTAATAATCAACGTTGATATACAAGCAAAGAAAAATGCACATCCTTTTTCACCTGTTGAAGTAGAACACACTAAACAAAGAATCGATAGGAATTTGTTTTAAAATGAAGAAAACACGTGTTAACTTTTTGAAATGAGAAAAAAAAAATTTACAAATACGTAATGTTTTCTTCCGTTTTCATGCTGGCCATGAATACAAATGTTCAAACACTTCGAGATGAGAAGCTTCAATATTTTGGTAAATTTAATTCGATAATATAATCAAAACAAATCGATTGAACGTCGTCATGGAAATCACATCGCAGATGACTGAAATGTCTTCATTTCCAAAAGAAGGAGAAGAAAAAAAAAACAAAAACAAAACAATAACGACAAACAACAAATTTGTAATACTCTTTTTGCATCCTCTTTTTCAACTATACATTGCAGCTATCTCACCTAATCTCATCAATCAATCATTCACAAACATACACCCATTCATATACAAATACACACACACACACATCAACACTTACTTTGTCCAATCTTATGTTTCTGTTGTGTTATCTACCTCTATATCTATTCTACATAAACAATTGGTCAATTCCCTGAGTATTTTCAAATTATTAAAAGAACAAAAAAAAAAAAGAACGAACGGAATACGGCACGAAAATGAGTTGACAGAATACAGCATTTTCCTAGCAACGAACTAAACAAACGATATCATATCCCGTACATCATTCACAACTCTATCAATTCGCAAGCTGTGCGCCTTCATTTGTACTGTTTATAGTTACTTTGGGATAAACTATAATGTCTCCCCATATTTAGTTACATTGATGTATAAATTGGAACTTAGGGCCTATTTTAAAAGTGACACTTTATTATCAGCTTGCATTACGATACACGCATTTAAACACATTACAAACATTAACATAGTTTACTGTAGACTTTGTAAGCAACATTTACCGTGTGTGTGTCATGAACGGTGCTTTTTTAATGAGCCAACTAAAATTGCCACTAAAATTCATTCTATTATCGCTATAAATTTTGCTTTTCTGCCACAACTGCGTGAGCTTATGAACGGCATTTCAGCATGGAAACTCGCTCCAAAAACCATTGCTTTGGTTTCAGTGGTTTTTTTCTTCATTCTGAAGACATTCATCAACATTTTAACGATTTGGTTAAAATTTCAGTTGAATTCGGGCAAAATTTAAAGCCAACATAGTAAACAAAATGATTCTAGCAATGTTGAGATTTGACACTTAACTTGGTTTTAGTACCATTTGCTCTAGAAAAAGTTCAAAAGTTCTATAATAAATACATGAAGCTTTGATTTGTGATTTAGTACATTTTGAACTTTTTCTAGTACAAATGGTACTTAAATGGATTTTAGTGCCAAATTTCATATTGCGGTTCTAAAAGTTAGAACCAACGTGTTTACTGTGAAAGTTAGCAAGAACTTTAGACGAAAAAGGCATTCTTCTACATAACGTTCTCTTTTCCACTATGAAAAACATCCATAGCTCTGTATTAATAATTCATCTACTGTTTTATCTTCATCCCGACAATCGGATGTTTGTTTCCCCAGAAATTTACTCTTCGGCACAACTTTCCATTTCTCGAACTTATCAAAATAAATAATTTAAATGCTTGCTGGCTTAAAAATGGGGAAAATTCGAAAATGTACAATATTTTAAAATCCAAAACTTTATCGAAGAATAGGGAAACAAAATTAATTGTTGGAAAACAACAATTTCTTCTTTCGATTAAAAACATCAAACTATATTTCATTCGAATTTGACGTCAAAAACATGCTGATCAACATAGCGATGTGATTTGTGGCTGGAAGAGATAAAAATGAAAAAAAAAGTCCGATTACGATTGGAATTCCATACCAATTTTTCGTGAACTCAATTTCTACCAATGTGTAAAAAGCATGGCTTGTGACTGGCTACGTCTCGTGCCGAATAAATAGATGACCTTTCATTCTCGTGTAACGATTTCTATGCTGCAATCCGCATGGCTAAATTCGACGACCTGTTTCGAGGTCGTGTGAATGTACGATATGCTTTTTCCGTTTTTGTTGTTATTCTATTTTTTTTTTTATTGTCAATGCTTATGATTATCCTTGATAAAAGTCTGAACTTCTTATGACAGTAAGCAAATATATATGGCTATGGCTGAAATTGAGAGTAGTTTGATTTTTCGACTTTTAGAGGCGACTATGGTGATTTTGTTTGCAGAAAAAGTGGAGCAAGTTTCTGTATATTCAAAAGTACTTAAATAAGAGAATGTATTTTAACTGTTTGTGACTGTGATAAAAGTGAGCATGTTTCATAAAACTTAATTTACAATTAAAAAAAAAAAGAGTGTGTATTTCGATGGTTCAGAGACCCAATGAACAGAAGTGTTTTTTTCTTTCATGATTTTTATAATTAGGAAAGGCGAAATTATTGATTGTAATATTGAAATTTTTGCAAGTAATGGGCCAGTATGATCAATAAAACATATTGTATATGATACATATACACCCTGTCAAAAAGGTATCGGGAATTCGTCATTTGAACCGTTTTATTTATGTATGTACAATCGCCGGTTGATAATACTTCAATTTTACACAAAAAAAAAAAAAATTTCAAAAATGATTTGAAACATTAATTTCTTTCGACACGTTGCATTAATACCGCATTAGCGCACGAACGAATAAGATACAACTCGCCAACTCTCTGTATATTAAATGTCCTTGCAGCATTTGCGTTGTATCGAACAGGACGACTACACCCTTACACTGACACGACAAATTGCATTACACTACCAATATTTTCGAATATCCAACGAATCGATTCAGTAAGCCAAGCCACGCTAATGTTCTATAGGATACTATTCGATTCGTCATTTCATTTGTTGGGTCATTGTCATACACATTTTATAGTTTTCAGTATCATAAGAAAATAGATGAAAACCAAAAGTTTAATTAAAATGGATGAAAATATCTAAAATAAAAACGTTTTTTTCTCGAAAGAAACTGTTCATTTGAAACAGTTTGAAATAATTCGGATGATGTGGTTTTAACATCTGTCAAACGCATCAAACACATGTTTTATCACTTGAACATCTGATCGCTTTTATGATTTGCACGCATGTATTTTAATTATTATTTTTTTTTTCAGTTTGTGTCATTGATACAAATCACCATTGAACAATCGGTTATTTCACTTTATGTATTGGTTGTGTTCACTGAGCTGGTGTTATGAATATTTTACTGTGGTGCGAAAAAGATTTCTTCACTTGTTTCGATACTTTGCAATTTCATCCATGTTTAGTGATACTGTCATTTCAGTCTCTTTTGCTATGGTTCGTATGCTGTTCGTTCATGCACAAATGCTGAGCCAAGCTCAGTCACATTCTCTTATTCATACTGCCAATTATGAACTCTTCATTCACTTGATCGAAAAAAATCGATATTTTTTATGCAAACCAAAGAGAAGAACTGGGGGATTGTCCTTTTATCCAATACCAATGTGTAAAATTGAAATAAATAATTATAATATTGGCTAATTTGAATGAAGTTGATCGCCTTTTCCAATAATCAAAGTCATGAAAATAGAATCCGGTTTGTTGATAGACTGAAGGTCACAATTTGAATCTACAAAACTAACTCTCTTTTAACGCAATTTAAGTCCTATGAAACATGCTCGTTTTCACCTCAAATACAAACAGTCAAAATACATACCATTTTTCAACTATATTTTCAATTCAATTGAAAATTGAATCAATGGGAAGTACACTAAAACTTTTCTACTTTTTCGAAACAAAGCCATTGAAATATACTTTACTCTGAATCTCACCCATAGCATTTATGAAAATATGCTGTATTTTGTTCATACATCACAATTTCTATGGTCAGTGTGTGCGTACCACGTATATATGTTTGAATAAAAGAGAAGAAGAAGAAGAAGAAGAAGAAGAAGAAAAATAAAGCAAATTATGTCGAAAGAAATTATCTTGAATATTGATGATGATGATATCATAAATAGAACGTTAAGCTATTCCATAGTCTGAATCAACTTGTTGTGCGCGTGAAATTGGCCACCTTTTTTGTATCTATATTTTTCTATCGTACAAAGTTTGCAAGTTTTTGAAAGAGTATTCTTAGCAAAAATGTCTGAGAAAATGAAATGAAATCGAATTGAGAGATGATCCATTATGTATTTTTAAACAAAATCTACAATATATAAAAATATATATTTACAATAAGTTACATTTTAGAGGAGAAAAAAAAAACAAATAAACAAACAAACAAAATATATTGAGTGCATTGATCACATTCGATGGACATTGAATCAATATCATGCCAAAGCTCGTCATATAATTTCAATCACTCTGACGAACGGTTATCCAATTATCACTTTGGTAAACGTATTGAATAATCATGTCATTTCAAATGCGAGCATCGTACTCGAATGCTAGAGAAACAAAAGACAATCGTATACAAATAAAAATGAAGATGAAATTGATGAATATATATATATATATATATATATTATATGCAACTTATTTTATGTGCGACTGCAATCAATTAAAAAATTGTGTTAACGGCACTGTTCCTGAAATTCTACGAAAAATGATTGAGATTCAGTTAAACCTCCCATTCATCGAGACCATTTAAAAAAAAAAAACAACAGAGAAATTACGGGTAACTCTTATGAATATATTTTATTTCCATTGAACATTTCGGGTGTCTCTTCATCCGGAGATAATCACGTAGTTTCGTTACTAAATCGTATCTGAAGAGGAAAAAAAAAAGAACAACAAATACGAAACAATTTCATTTTTTGAATCAGCGAACACGTTTTTCCTGTTCCATACCTTCTTATGGATAGTTTTTTTTTTCATTTTCGTTTGGAAAAGATGACAATCTTCAAAATAGAAATTAGATCATGAATAAAAAGAAATGAAATTCATTTTGTTCTCACCCTTCGCACACCACCTCACTACAATTGAACGAAAGACATCATTTCTGATAAAATGATGCTGATTTCTGAATCCGAATCCAAAATTCTTATGCTAATGAAGTGAGATTTCCAAAGAAATTTTATGATCCAAACCTAGATCCAATCACTAAACCAAGAGAGAAAAAAAAAACATGAACAACCAAGAGATATCTTAATATATACAATTTACACGTAATTCATATTCTCGACGGCCTGAATATTGCCACAGTTGTGTTTTCAAATTTGCATCAATTATACAGAAATATCACCGTAAACTGTTCCGATACCCTTTTTTCATTTCCGAACAGTGTGATTTTATTGAACAAAACAAAACCAAAACAACAACTACAAAAAAAAAAACAAATCAATGTAAGATAAATATTTCTTTAGTGTTACAAATATGGTGTAGTCTAACCTTAAACTAAATGGAATTTCTAACACGAAAAGAAAAAAAACATAAAACGCAAAGCGGTTCCAATCCAATCATATACATTCATTATGTATTCTTCTTCGGTTAATCTTCTTCTACCATATTGTTTATGCTATTGAACGAAAAATGCTTTTAATTTCTCCTTTTTGTTTTATTTTTGCTCTAACGTCTCTTCTTTGCTCTCAATGTTCAATGAAATTTTACGTTTATTTATACCCCACCATCCACACTCCTAAGGGAAAATTCCCGTTCAAGATCAAAAGTAAGTGAATTGAAAAGCTTCAGGAAAAAAAAGCAAAACGCTGAAAATATTCACACTCGTGATGTTATCGTATTAACATTAGATAGAAATGCTAAGTGACAATCCTATCGTTAGTACTTGCACAATTATTGAGAGAATAGTGAATTGAAACATATAAACCCTCTTCCCTACAGAGAAAGAAGCAAGTTAGAAACAGAAATAAATGGAAAAATACATTTGCATGATAAAAACAAATCAGTTGAAAGAAAAAAATAAAAAGGTTGATTGAGGGACCCAACATAGGTAAGCGTGTGAATATTGAGAAACTACAATGGAAAATAGCTCTACCATACCTACACCACTTAACACAAATATAGTATATTATAAATCAATATAATAAACATGTCTGCTTGAACAATCAATTTCACAAATTTTTAAATTAATCGAATTTTCGTTTTTCGTTTTTCATTTTACAACTTAAAAACATAACATTCTAAACTATTCCCTCCTTCCACAAAACTTAACACACAAAAAAAAACACGCACTAACTTAAAAAAAAAATCTAGTTGAATTTGAAACACCGTACAATCAACACAATTAATTTTAGCATAGCTTATAGCTAGTGATGTTCTTTAACACTATCACCTTTCGATTATTTGACAAAAAAAAAAACATTCTTTATGTGAAAAAAATATATTATGAATAAACAAAAATCGATTTGAAAAAAAAAAACTCACTTTGACTTCGACAATTTGTCATTTTACGGAATATTAAGATAATCTTATCTCTAAATTTAAATGGAAATGAAAAAAAAAGAAGAAAATATATATGATGAAAATGAAATTCTATTTTGAATGTTAAATATGATGAACAAACATTTATTGAGAAAAATCAACTTATGAATAACAAAACCAAACAAATTAAATCAAACTCTAGACTAACAACAACAACAACAAAAAAATCATTATCGTCAAATGACGTTTAACAAATGTAACAAATTAGAAACTATGATGGATGAATTGAAACAATCTGTATGTCTAATCATTTTAAGAATAAAGAGTATTTATGTGAGAAATTCTATTCGATTGTTGGTGTTTGCTTTCTTTCTCTTCGTGATTAATTTCATCTTTTCTTAAAATTCATCCTGAAAAGGTAATTATTTGACGGCACCGCCGCCGCACCGCACACGTTTCATTAGACAAACATAATAAATTCTGACAGTTTTCGTTCCTAAATGGAGATATTGGATGTCTTATCGTTCAATTTGAATGGTTTTGTTCTAAAATAGCTCATCTTCAAAAATGTGATAACTTACTTCGTTAGTTTTGCCAGCAATATTACGAGAAGCTCAGTTTACCGAAAATTTTCATCCCATTACACCGAGCAAGCGAGCGAGGGAAAGCAAGGGAGAGAGGGAGAGAGAGGCATGTCTCTAGAGCGCGCCTGCAGGCGTTCAAATCAATTCCATTAATCATTTCTCCGTCACCAATTTTATGTTCGATAAAAGCGTTGCTTTTAAAATGCAGCCTCATCGTAGTGTAACCTTTATTATGAAATGTTTGTTTTTTTTTTTATCACGATTATCCATTTACCAATCCAATTAGAGAATTTCCGGTGAAAAGCGCTGGAGCCGTGGTTGCGTATGTGTCCGTCTGTGTGTGCTTACGGCAGAAAATAATCGATTTGAAAATAGCGAAACTTGAAACGAATGTAGCGGGCGTCAGTGTAAGTTTTATTTCTCTCGTCTTATTCCTTCTTCTCCTTTTTTTTTGAATAGAAACATATTATTTGCTTGCAGCATCAAATTCGTTGAGCTGTGTGCCGTTTAGCCAATGGTAAAATTCCATGAATTCTAAGCATGATAGCGCTGAGCATGACACACACACACACACACACACACAAACAGTATATAAGCGATGCGATGCGATGAGATAAGAAACAGCAATGGTGGTTAGAATACAGGCCCGGTATTACAGGGTCATTACAGATCTTTATTAAATAACTCCCATTGCTCGCGTTTGTTAATTAAGCGTTTCCTGACGACGACGACGTAACATCGAATGAGCCAAAGAATATCCTCGTATTTTTGCCGTTCTGTGTGACCTACAAAGCTACATATTTTTACCTCATAAATAGGTCAAGTTCGTTTTCGTATTCTGGCCAAATATATAGATATACATGCTTCATTATGTGTACCTATCGAAGCTCGTCCCATGTACAAATGTGCGACAGAGATTGAGCTGCGTGTGCCCAGGAGAGCAAACGAACAAACGAAACCAAGTGCACGGCATTATATACACACATACACACCGCTATCCTCTTCTTCGTCGTCGTCGTCGTCGTCTTCGTCGATGATATAGGTAAACATAATAACTTCGCAGAACTGCGTCATTCAAGCACAAAAATTTATTTACTTGCTAGTTTGAAAACGCCGAACGCAATGTTTTTTCTTTCTCTCTCTCTCTCCGTTCGCTCTGCTTTTTCCCACATTCAACGCACAATCAATGAAAGCGAAAGAGGGATTTGCGGTAGGCTGATTGCAATTATGCAAACAAGTGAAGCGAATTCAACTCTCATGAATTTACAATTCAATAAATTTTGTTTTTATTCTGTTTTTTTTTTTTATTTCTCGATAACGTTTTGCATTCCAAACTCTGTGTCAAATTGGTTTAAGCATTGGATTTTCCAAACATAAACATTGGCAAAAAAAAAAACGAATAACAAAAATGAGAAACATATTGACATTAAGCTTGGTGACATGAGTCATGGTTGAAATATTCGGATATGCAAATGCGGATTACTTTTCAAAATCCAGACGGTTCCAGGTTCTCTTGGACGTTGTTAACGTTGACACAATTTTTTCGTTGCATTACACAAATAGATCTATTTACAATGTGCGGTTTATTTTCGTCAATATCAAAACGATTGGGGTTTTGTTTAATTTCGCGCAAATCAACAATTACTCCAATTCGACTGGGATTACTCAGACACTCAACTATGTGATCATGTGAGATAGTATTTAAAACAAAAGACGGCAAATCGTTTGACATAACAGTAATTTCATTTCACCACTTGTGTTCGACACATCGATTGTTCTGGTTGAAAATTCAAGACACTCGACAATATGCCAAAAAAAGCATCAACACAGTTTTTCCATGCGGAAAACACACCATCGAAGGTAACACAATTATTATAAATAATGAGTTTGTGCGCCAATTAACACCCATCATTTTCATCATTTATTGTGTTTAGAGGAGCCTGTTATATGAATTTGAACGCATTGCCATGGAAATGTATCGTAAGTGTATGCATTATGCGCAGTTGCATTGAATGTGAATGTGAATGGGAATCGTACGGAAATGAACACGAGTGCATGGTGCGTGCAAAGCAACGACAAATCATAGAATTCAATGCTAATACATTTGACTCCGTTTCAACCGTTCACAATGTGAACTTCACATTCTTTGGATTTGCGTATTCCACATTGTACTTTCGCTTTGTTTTTTTTTCTTGTATTCTCATTATTCTACCACCATTCATACTCGCACAAATCAACAGGTGAATCGACACCATCGAATGGCAATGACTTTTCAGCACCACAATATGGGCATACCAGTGAAAATGTGTGCGGAAAATACTTTGGCATCGGCTCATTGTGATGTATTCGTCGACCACCTTGGTCTGGCAATAATTCAGCGCAAATAAAGTGCAATTAAATTAGAGTTAGTTTTGTACAAATAACGTATTGTAAGCAAATCATTTGACATTTTCTCAAATCGCACGATTGAACAATGGCAAGATGATGGATATCGATGAATATTTTTATTGTGTTTGAAAACTCTGAAAAATAACGTAAAAATACTGAAACAATTTTACCCATGAACACAACAAAATTATGATTTGAATGAATTATTGATTTTCTTGGCCAATTAAAATGTAATTCCGTATAAATTTTTATATTTTGAGTCGAAGAGATAAAGTTTATTGCTTTGAAAAAAAAAAATGTATTCGTCAAAGTCAACATAATAAATATGGGCTCAAAGTAGCAAAATTGTGCTTGTGATGTTAATCATTGTGGCAGTGTGAAAGACCCAACTGTCACTCACCCATCGAAAAGTTGAATATCATTTTATTGGAATATCCCATTTCCACCCCATTTACTCTATATTCGGTTTAACCGATACAACCAAGTCAAATCCATGCTTATGCTTATTTATTCAACTCATGTTTTCGCCGAAAATTCTTTACTTCGTTACAATTTTATGCAGCAGCAGCCGGAGCAGTAGCAGCCGCAACAAC